CCCGGAGGCCATGTCCGTCCCGGGTCTGGCAGCCCAGGCCCAGGCTGCTACGAGCCCAGACGGAGCGGGCAAAGCCAGCCTCAGGTGTTTGCCCTCCCTCTTACTGCCTCCTGCCAAAGTCTCCTGCCAAAGTCTCCTGACCCCTCGGGCCGCTCGGGCGCCAGAGAGAAGGGGCAAGGAGAAGGTGCTGCAGCAAGAGGGGCTCACCAAGGGTGTGGGGATGGATGCCAAAGGGTCCCCGTTTCCCGCATGCCCCCACGCACCTGAAGAGACCCCATCCAGGGGACCGCACGCAGGGGCTGGTGAGCATCTGGGAAGCCCCTTGGAGAGAGCAGGTCCCCAGGGGACCCGCAGGGGAGGCTCCCGCACACAGCACCGTGGCAGGGCTGAGGCAGCCGCCAGCCCCATTCTGGGAAGAGCAGGGTTTGAGCTCCTCCTAGAGAAAAGTGAGCGGCATTTTCCCTGGGGTTGCAAGAGAGCTCAGCTCCAAACCCTGTACAAGGAGACGGGAGTTGTCTCCGCGTGGGTGAGTTCTGCTGGGCGGTGATTAATTGGCAAGGATAAAGTCGATTAGCGCACACATTAATTCTCTGATGTATTTATCCTGGATGTGCTCAGTTGGGTTGGGGAGTCTAGGATGGATTTGCACTGAGCCAAACCTCTCTGCTCTGGCCGCAGGGGGACATGGGGGGACAGCACGGTCCCGGCCCCGTGTGCTGTGTGCATGGCAGCACGTGGTGGCACGTCGAGGGGGTCCGGGCACCCGGGCTGCTCCCAGGCTGGGTCCGGCTCTGACTCCTGCTCTCCAGTTCAGTTTGGCCCCTGCTCAAGTTCAGCAAAACCAGCAGATCAGGTTCAGTTCTGGTTCAGGGAAAGGGCAGCAGTTTTAACCGGTTGCTGCTCAGCCTGACTCCCTGCTCTGAAGACAGACAGACCCTGAGTACAGTCACGCAGGCTTCTAGCCATAGAAATCAGGCTAAAATGAACGTTGGGGTTGAAGCGGGACTGTTTGTGCCACCGTGGTCCCCAAATTCACCTTGTCCTTGCAGCTGGCCGTATCATGAGGGTGCTGCCCTGCCCAAAGCACTGAGGAGCATCAACCCGAGCCCACCCGGCTGCCAGTGCCCCGGCCCAGGGTGCTGGCTGGTGGCTCCAGCTCTGCCCACCCCAGGACATACCGTGGGTGTTGGGGAAGGAAATGTGGGTCTGCTACAGCCCCTCTCCTCTGCTGGATGTGGCCCCGGCACAAGCAGGGCCAGTGAGAGCCTCCTGCATCTTCCCCAGCGCGAGATGTGTGGCTGTCCCCGGCTGCAGCTCACTCACCTTGCCCGGTGCCCGTGTTATCGCCCTCGGCCGGCTCGGCCATGGGGAAGCCACCGGCCGCTCCCCCGGGGGAGCAGGGCAGGCTGAGCCCCACCTGCAGCGTGTGCCCAGGCTCCGGTGCACCCTGCTGCCGGGTCCCCTCTGTCCCCATCACCTGCCCTGACTTTTAAGGTGAGTGCCAGCCAGCTGGCACAGGAGATTTATTTGGTGTAAATAGGATGAGGGGTGGAGCAGCTCCAGCGCCCGCATTGCCCCTTCCTGCCCCAATTCTGCGCTGAGGCTGGGGAGGGGGACGAAAACACCCCGTGGGATGAGATAGCCATCAAACCAGCAACATGACCATTAAACTTAATCATTTATTTTTCCCAAGGATAACCTTCATTTTCCTGCTCTGGGGTTCACTCCCGTTGCCAGCGTCACGGGGCAGGGAGGGTGCCGCGGGGCCGAGGGAGGGCTGGAGCTGCCGGACCGCCTGCTGCGGCAATCGCCCGTCCTTGAACGAAGGAAACATCAACACGGCGAGTGGGTTTGCAACCGCTTCCCGCTGGATGGTCCCAGGGGAGTCGGAAAGAGAAGCACGTGAGCAGCAAGTGCCAGGAACTGGGTGACAAGGGAGAGATTGGGGCCACGAGGACTAAGCGACGCCCTTCTGCAACCGCCCTGTGCACCCCTAGGGACGCTTTTCCAGGATGGGTGCGCCGGGGCTGTGCCAGCCGTGTTGTGGCACCGGATGGCAAAACCACCGGGGGGAATTTGGGGCGATGCAGACGTGCGACCCGCAGCACCCCGTGCCTCCTGTGTACAGTTGCTCACAGCGGGAGCACAAAATGTGATTGTTGCAGGCACAGTTCTGGTGCTTCAGTGTTTCCAATCTGTCCCCCCTTTGAAATGGTTGTTATTGATTGACTTATATCTCAAAATGCTTTGCAGAATTGCAAACTGTGTTGTACTTACAGGCAAAAGAGCTGAGTTGGAGGAAAAGTACCCTCCAACAGCCGAGAGATGCTCTGAGCAACATTGCACTGATCCGACATTGCTACCTGGAGAACTCACAGTTCAGGCTGCACTTAAAAGTGGGCATTTTTATAGGCACCTTAAATTTTTTAAGTTGTTTTTTCCTTAAAAAATGTGGTTTTTTTTTCTCCTGTGATAACAGCAACTGTGGGTCGTTCCTGCCTTGCCTCCCTGCCTGCGGGTCTGTGGGGTCTGCCTGCATGATGCAGCGCATCCCTGAGCATCCACCGGCACCGGTGGTCTCGGGGCATCTGCAGCTGAGCGAGAGCGGTCCCTCTGCAAACCGTCTCCTTTCTGGATGAAGCACCTCCTCTGTGATGTGCCAAAATCTGATGGGAGCGGCACGGCTGTCCCGTCGTCCCTCTCCTCCCTTTGCTCCCGGCAAGCTGGGAGCCCCGGGAAGTGGAAGCAAGGGGCTGTGTCAGCAAAGGGCCCCCCAGGGTGCTGTGCTGGGTGGGTGGGAGGCGAGGGGCTGTTCCGCAGCGGGAGGCTCCTACTCGGCACCCAGAGCCTGTCTGTGCGCTCGATGGGCGGCTCTGCTCACCACGCTGCATCTGAAGGGGCAGGTGATGACCCCCAGCTCTGCTCCTGGGGGTCCCCACGCTGCACCCTGCTCCGGTTCCCTGTGCCAAGGGGTCCTTTACTCTCTCTCCAACTCAAACCCTTTTGCCCAGGCTCTTACAGCAGTGGCTCCTGCTGCCTTTCTCCAGGACCTCGCTGGCTGCCTTCTCCTTTTCTTTTTCTAGGACAGCAGATGCCTCTCCCTGCCAGACTGAAGCAGCTCTGAATCCTCCCACAGCCCCCCCGGCCGCCTGCCTGCTCCCCGGCAGACACCGCGCTCCGTGCCGAGAGAGGACGTGGAAGTCTATCAGGGACGGCACGAAATGGATCATTGCTTCATGGGTTTTTAATGGCAAAAAAAATTAAATATGTAAAGGCCGTGCCGGCTCCAGATGAGCAGTGCAGCCGAAGGCATAAATGTTTCATGCTAACTGCCTGCGAGAGGAGCCAGCCCGATTCGGATGTGCAAAGAGGGCTGGTGAGAAAAGCCGTCACCCCGGGGACGGAGCCCGCTCCAGGGGGCTGCCAGGGCCAGCGGGGCTCCCCGAGCCACCCCACGCTGCTTTGCTGTGTGCCCTGGACACTTCTGGCACGTGGATCCTCCCAAGTAACTGGTGAAAGGACGAGAGGAAATGGCCTCAAGTTGTGCCAGGGGAGGTTTAGATTGGATGTGAGGAAAAATTTCTTTACTGAAAGAGTAGTTAAACATTGGAACAGGCTGCCCAGGGAAGTGGTTGAGTCACCATCCCTGGAGGTATT